ACCCTTTTACCACTGCTGTTGTGGGGAAATAGATAAATTTTCTAAAAAAATGACCTTGTCATCAAAGAGTTTGTAATAGCCAAGTAAGAGAATTCTGGGTAGTATAGATGTTTATCCTAAACTTTTTGAAAACAGACTTCAGAAACTTTATTGACGTAGAAGACAGCTTGAGGTCTTCAAAGGAAATGCAGCACTTGATCTGTGAGTCCCATTGAAATTCTGACTGTATAAATGAGAACAATATGACTTCTGATTAGCTTATGTTTTAAAACACTGTGAAACGGGGAGAAAGACCATTTGGTTAGTCATGGACAGTAATAGGAGTGATGTGAAGTAAAAATGGAAAGTTAAAGCCCCACATTGACCAACGCCTGCAAACACCACAGAAAGCGCCACAGGAACCGTCTTTGCATAACATCCAGAGTGTCAAGACTAGAAGAAGGCTTGGGCACTGTTGGAGACACGATGAATTGTTAACAGAGGAAGACTGTAGAATTGAGTATCTTTTCTGTCAAGAATTATTTTGAAACTAGAAAAGACAAAAAATATTAGTAAGTTACAGGTGGGTTAAAGAGTTAAATATTTAAGAAGTCAAAACAGAGCTACCAGAAAGGGTGGGTGGCCTTAGACTGACAAGAGCCGAGTTTGGGGCTTGTCTCTGCCATTCACTGGGTCCTTCAGACAAATCTAGTAACCTTTCAGAGTTTTTTTTCTTTGCTGGAAAATGAGAATAATATCTGCCTCGCACATAGTAGGTACTGAATACATTTTTGTTATATTAATGGGTGCTTTACTCACAGAGTTATGAGACTCAGATGAGATTATTTATGTTTAGTGAGCTAAAACAAATGGAAAGTTATACTGATCTCTAACATTCATTACCACTGTGTATCAGCCATGCTACTCAAGCATATCATACTTTTCTTACTTAATTCCCACAGCAGCCCTTTGAAGGTAGGTACTGTTACTGTCCCCATTTTACAAATTAGGAAACAGAGCAAATGAAGTTAAGTAATTTGCCCAGTGTCACACAATAGATACTTGGAGCCAGAATTTAAACCTTAAATCTGACTTCCAGAGCCTATGCTCTTAACCCACCTACAAATGATATATTGACAAAGGATGGGAATTCAAGTAGGATGAGCAAGAAGAGAACTGATATTCATTGAGCCACCCTGCTTGTTGCCCTTAACCTTAGAAACATTATTTAATCCTCACAAAGTCATGTGATGAAGGTCATTTCCACGTCTTCAAAAGAAAGATATAACAGTGAGGCTTGGAATGGTCTAATAAATTCTCCAAAGTCAAACCCTGACGTTAAGAAGGAGGTGGAATATGAACTCATATTTGTCTGGCTCCAAATCTCTTGTTTCCTACTACACTATGCTGCTTCTCTGTAGGAAATCAAATTTACAAGGGTGGGC